CATGATCCATATTATTAAAGAAACTCAATTATGTAAATCAGTTACGTAAGTTAGTTGGTGTGTGGGGTCCAATGTGAAAAGCTTGAAGTTTTGCATTGATGATCATGAAGGATAATATATATCCATATGAACTAAACGCAGGGTGGTGGGTGGTGCAATGACATAGAATCATGCTTGGAGAGAGCCAAAAGCCGTAGAGGATCAACACGCTACATGACCAAGTGGGAGGTCTTCTCTGGAATTCTAAGCAATAATGCATCTCTAAATCCAGGTTCGTCATCATGTTCTCAATGCATGATTTAATTGACTCATCTTGTGGTCCATATATGTCATCACATTTTCACATGTTACGACACTGCTCCTTTCATAATTGATCTTAAATATAAGAAGAAGAAAAAGTCACTTTATTTAAAGGATGAAAGCATCAGTCTCAAGGAGCTTTTCCAAGTGGTTAAAAGTAGTTACCCCTACACCAGTCCTGTCTTCGAATCCCCCTCCTATCTATGTATTGTGAAGTTTCTATGGCGGACAGTCCATGTTCCTTCGCTTTCTTAATTGTCCCTTTCACGTGATTATTACAGTGATGACAGCTATTTTCTGAGTTTGTAGCTTTTGATCAGCCGACCTTCCAGCCTTTCTCCAGTGTTGTCATTTCTTGTTGTCTTTGGACTGTTTAAGGGCATGGCAACGCATAAGCCTTTGTCCTATTGTGCACATTGACCTGTGTCCAGTTGGAAGGTCTGAATCTCTGCTTGGGCTGACAATTTACAGTAGTAGCTCTAAAAGCTTCATGGCATAGTTAGTTGTATCCACTTGGTTTTAGCTGAGAGCTCCCACCATTGAATCATTCGAATAATTTTAATAATCAATTACATGTCCTGATAAAAGCTTTATAATTTGTAAACATAATCTGGATCCATACATGAGTCACATGACATGAATCTGATGATGCATGCAACAAAAGATAGAATCTTGCAGTGAACTCAATTCTGAAATTGTTATGTTCTGATTTTGAACCAGATTTTTACAACTGGAACCGTGTGAAGCTTAGATATTGCGATGGAGCTTCATTTGCTGGAGATGCCGTATTTAAGAATGGGGTATTTCTCTCTCTCTCTCTCTCTCTCTCTCTCTCAACAAATATTTCCTTCCAACATTCTTAAGTAACCTTCACTTTATCCACAATCTCTCAACATGCTGTTGAAATCTACCGAAAAAGCCGATTTCTTATACTTAATCAACTGATCAGTTCTTTGCATGTATGTGTTGAATGCGCGTGTGAAATGAATTACAGACATCGTTGCTCTATTTCAGAGGGCAAAAGATTTGGGAAGCTATCATTCTTGATCTTCTACCAAAAGGTTTAGGACAAGCAAGAAAGGTAAATAAATAAATAAAACCCACCCCTCAGTTTCTTCTATTTTTATAGGAAACCTGATCAAACAAGTTGCTAAAATATTTGATATAAAATTAGATATTCAAATTCAACTACTTATTACATTCCTTCTCTGCTCTAGGCTCTGTTATCAGGATGTTCTGCTGGGGGTTTAGCATCCTTTTTGCATTGTAACAACTTCACTAAATATTTACCAAGCAATGCCAGTGTGAAATGCTTGAGTGACGCTGGATTCTTTCTTGATGAGTAAGTTAGCTTTGTCCATTTTCCAAGTTCAAAGCAGATTGCAGCTAATGCATAATTTTGATGTTTCGTTTCTTTCTCGAGTGCAGAAGAGATATAACTTCGAATCACACCATGAGGTATTTCGTTAAAGATGTTGTTTCTCTACAGGTAACAATACTAATGCCTAAGAAAACAAATCTTTGCTCTATTTGTATATTTGTATTTTTCTTAAAAATATGTATTCACACGTTGGAAGTATGCATGGCAGGGGGTAGAGAAGAATCTGGATGAGAACTGCACCGCCAGCTCCCTTGATTTTCCCGAGTTGGTAAGATTTTCGTAGCATCGTTGAGCTGTTAGATTTTCGTAGCAATCACATGGTTTTAACATTTGCCTTTCTTTGGATGCAGTGTTTCTTCCCACAGTACGCACTGAAGTTCATTACAATACCATTTTTCATATTGAACTCAGCTTATGATGTTTATCAGGTACAAATTCTCCATGCCTTGTTCATGTGACAGTTGCAAACTTTTGATTCAAATTTGAATATTTAGTAGAGCTGTTAATGTCCACAGTTCCATCATATATTGGTGCCATCTTCAGCTGATCCACACGGCCACTGGAACCGTTGCAAACTGAATCCGGCGGCATGCAATCCTGAACAGTTAAATACATTGCAAGGTTCTTCAATTCTGCCCTACACTAGTTTACTGTTAAATTTGCAAAAGTCCTAATTGCTCAGCTGAAATATCATTGTTTTTCTTAATTTTCAGAATTCAGGCGTGACATGATTGTTGCTATGGGATTGTTCTACAAATATTCGAGAAGAGGAGGCTTGTTCATAAATTCATGCTTTGCTCACTGCCAAAGTGAGTCTCAAGACACATGGTTTTCTGCAGATTCTCCAAGAGTTCACAATAAGGTAATTTCCTAAGATCTTAATTAAGTATATTATTCTTTTACAGAAGGTTATAGCAGGAGAAAAACTTCCCCTAACCCCCTTGCATTGTCCCTTTTTTCCTATCTCTCTCCTCGTGTCACTTATCAATAGAGGAGAGATAGAAAAAAAAGGGAACAATGCAACGGGTGTAAGTAAGTATTTCTTGTATTGTAGGCTCATAAGGTCTTAATTAAGTAAAAACTGTGATTTTGCTTTTTGCCAGACCATTGCAGAAGCAGTAGGTGATTGGTACTTCAGCAGAAGGATAACAAAGGAAATTGATTGCCCGTATCCTTGTGACACTACCTGCCATAACCTTATACCATCAACTCAAGTAATAATGTTTTTCATTATGCAATTTAATAATTAATTCCTGCTTAATTATTAATTCCATAGATCTGACCTGAAAATATATTTTTGCAGGCCCTTGTACAAGATTTGAGAAGCTATTAGGTCCAACATTTTCAAGGAGACAAAATTCTTTGGAAGGTTCACAAGGAAGAATCTAGAATACAAGTATACAATACAATACACAGTGATACATAGAGCTATTAGGTCCAACATTGTCACCACCAAGCAGTGGTGGAGCTAGAAACTTTGTACAGAGGGGGCACCCTCAAATATTGAAATGACATTTGAATTAATTTTTTAGTTAATACAAAATCCCTAAATTTGATTACTATACTCTATTATTTACATATAACATTAACTATCTATTCATCATTGATACTAGCACAAAATATATTGATTGAAATTAAATGTACTTTGTTAAATATATACACTAAGAAATTCCAATTATAGTTTATTACTACAAAATTTAGAGTTAAAATAAGACAAGAAGAGATTTAGAAGGGTAGTAATAATAGTGAAAAGAGAGAGAAGGAAAACATAAAAAGAGCACTTTGAAATTTGATAAAAGATTGGTAATTGTGCTAAGAAAACAAAAGCCTCAATAATATTGAGAGGGGGCATAAGAACCCCCCTGGGCCTTAGCTCCCTCTGCCCTTGCCGCCGAGATACATGTACATGTGTTTTTCTATTTCAGATTTTAAACCGAATGAGCCTACGTACCCATATCTCTTCTCTATTATTTAAGTTAAATTAACAGTCATCTTGCTAGGGTTTTTTTTTTCTTTTTCTTTCCTTCTACCTTACTAGTTGCTATTCCTATTCTAGACAGGAATCTCTCAAACTCTTAGTCCTGAGCACTAATTAGTTGAAAGACCCAAATATATGAGATTTTAACCTATGTAGATGAAGCCAAGTTCGCTAGAACAAATAAGCTTTTTAATTTTTAATTTTTTAAATCTGAATATCTTGGTCTTGGTCATATACTATTAGGCTGTGTGAAGAATTTTCACCTGCATATTATGGGCTCTGCACTGTTGGTGAAATGCTCAGTGCTGGCACTACCCATCTTGCAATCACGCCTCTTGATGTCTTGAAAGTTAATATGCAGGTTCGTTTTATTGATTAAGAGAAGGGAAGGAAATAAAAAAGAAAGAGGAGATAGATGACTGAACTCGGGGAGAGGAAGAAAGAAGAGAAAAAGAAAGAGAGACAAAGACAGAGAAGAGAGAAGGAAAGAAAACAGAAAAGAAAGAGGGGAGAGAGAAACTTATATATATATTTTATAATTTTGGATTGATTTGACGATTATATCCCTGAATTTAACAGTTTTTTTTGACAGAAGGACTATTTGAGAGCACCTATATTAACGTTAAGGACCATCAGTGATAGAAAAAAACTTTAAGGATGCAATGTGATAGTTTCACAAACGTCAGGGACGTTTTGTGATAATAAGCCATAGTGAAAAGAGAGAGAAGGAAAACATAAAAAGAGCACTTTGAAATTTGATAAAAGATTGGTAATTGTGCTAAGAAAACAAAAGCCTCAATAATATTGAGAGGGGGCATAAGAACCCCCCTGGGCCTTAGCTCCCTCTGCCCTTGCCGCCGAGATACATGTACATGTGTTTTTCTATTTCAGATTTTAAACCGAATGAGCCTACGTACCCATATCTCTTCTCTATTGTTTAAGTTCAATTAACAGTCATCTTGCTAGGTTTTTTTTTTCTTTTTCTTTCCTTCTACCTTACTAGTTGCTATTCCTATTCTAGACAGGAATCTCTCAAACTCTAATTAGTTGAAAGACCCAAATATATGAGATTTTAACCTATGCAGATGAAGCCAAGTTCGCTAGAACAAATAAGCTTTTTAATTTTTAATTTTTTTAATCTGAATATCTTGGTCTTGGTCATATACTATTGTACTTTATTGGTATTTCCCACAAAGGAAAACGAAGGCTCCTCCTATCCCATCATTTGCAATCCCTACAAGGACAAACAAGTAATTTCCATGACAAATGATAAATTCACCACCCATTTACATCCAATCCAACAAAACCCCGTCGATGTTTCCACCAGCTGTTTTGACGAAAAAAGAAATAAAAGTGGCTTCCACCAGCTGTCCCAAAACTGCTGCACTTCACCACCTCGTCACCGCCGCCACCACAGTCCTAAATTACCAAACCACCCTTGTTCATTTATTTTTGGCAAAAAATATACAAAAACGATGCAATGCCCAGTAGTTTTAATCAAATTGCCGTATTTGCCCACGTCACGACTCTCACTACACTCGCCATTTCTCTCACTACTCATTAGACCCAAAAAGCTCAGGAAAGCAAGAAGAACGAGAGAGAGTAGAAGTAGCATCGGTAGAGATAGGGCAATGCCTTGTTCTGCAATTGGTGGAGGTGGTGGTGAGGCTAATGGTTCTCTGCTCAATTTCAAACTGACCGAGTCCACGTTCTTGGCCTCCCTCATGCCGAAGAAAGAGATTGGCGCCGATCGCTTCATCGAGGCTCATCCCAATTACGACGGCCGTGGCGCCCTCATCGCTATCTTCGGTATCTTCATCAGTCCAATTGCTTAATTTCTGCTTGCAAGAAGAGAAAACGAGAAAGAAAGTTGAATTGTTAAGAACGAACTGATAAGAAAGAAAGATAATCTGTTGTGCTAGGCATAATTAGGAAAATGAATTTAGTTGACAAAAGATAAAAGAACTATTGGTTTGATTTTCTGGGGCGAGGAACTTAAGTTGTTGAACTGAAACTGTGAATCAGATTCTGGAGTGGACCCTGCTGCTTCTGGATTACAAGTTACATCAGATGGAAAGCCGAAAATCCTAGATGTTCTTGATTGGTAACTATAACTGAACTAATTTATTTGAGCATGCCATTGGTATTGTTAGAACCTTTGATTTAATCTGACAACTTTTCTCTTTTAATTTTTCAGTACTGGGAGTGGTGATGTTGATACTTCAAAGGTAGTGAAGGCCGATGAAAACGGTTCTATTCGTGGAGCTTCCGGTTAGTTTCTTGTTGTAGATGTGTGTATGCATGCAATTGCTTCTGCTTTTATTTTCGTTAAAATTTCCTGCATTTTCTTTAAGCTTTGTAGCCTGTGTTTATGCTTTTGATTGACTATCTAATCGTGAGCTAAGCTCTGTTTTCAAAAATGCCATGCTTGGGTTTTAATGCAAAGTTTCATACAGGAGCATCTCTGGTTGTCGACTCCTCATGGAAAAATCCTTCTGGTGAATGGCATGTGGGTTATAAATTGGTATACGAGTTGTTTACAGATACATTGACTTCTCGCTTGAAGGTAAGCATTGACATTATGATCCATTGATTAGTTTACTGGAATTGTATTTATAGTCTACATCATCACTTCAGATGATAGTGATCAAATTTGACCTCTTTTTAATTGACAGAAAGAAAGAAGGAAAAAATGGGATGAACAAAACCAAGAAGAAATTGCCGAGGCTGTTAAGCATCTTCATGAATTTGACCAGGTTTTTTAATATGCTGATTCTTGATTTCTTGCATATACATGATCCTTAGAGCGCACATTACCCATTTAATCCATCCTATGTTATTAATTTGATATAAGCACACCATAAATGCAGTTGAAAATGTTAAATAAACTGGAAAAGATTATTATTGCACTTTTCAAGTAAGCTTAATATACACTTTCTCTTTGCATTCTTGCCTACATGGATTCTTATATTATGCACTTCCTCTTTGCATATGTTGTGTAACTGGATTGCATTTTCGTTCAAAGTAGTTCATTTTCGTATATTGTACCTATGTAGATAAGGGTACCGATTCAAAACTGCTAACACTTAATCATTTGAAATGTATATACGTTCACATTGTAAAGCATCTCTGATCAACTTTACCATAATCTGATCAATTCTTATAGAAAATGTACATGCAAGCTTTCCAGCTGTTTCACTCTGATAAATGATTAGCAGAGTATGCTTGCATCGCATTGCTCCTAAATGTGTAACTCTTTATGTTACCATATTTCCAGAAACACAGTAAAGTGGATGATGCTAACTTGAAAAGGGCTCGGGAGGACCTGCAAAATAGAGTTGATTACCTACAAAAGCAAGCTGATGTGAGTGCCAAATATTAAATTTTTTATTTTTTAAAATTTTGAATTTCCTCTGCAACTCTTAAAGGTGATAATTTGTTTTCTAGACCTATGATGACAAAGGCCCTGTCATAGATGCTGTTGTATGGCATAATGGAGAAGTATGGAGGGTTGCCCTTGACACACAGACTCTTGAGGATAACCCAGATTGTGGAAAACTTGCAGACTTTGTGCCCCTAACTAATTATAGGTATGGTTGGCTTGGTTTAGTGGCAATTTCATTAGAAAAGTATAATGATGTTGAGGCAAAGAAGGAAGATATACTTAATTATTTATGGTTATAAAATGTGTATAGTGATACCAAACAATTTTACATCTGAAAAGTCCTTTTGATTTCTCAATTGCAAACTTATTTGTGTTTGGTGTTTTATTTTCCAATAGGGTGGTTATCATCATGGATCAGTTCTATAGAATTTTGACTTGAATAAACTTTCTTGCAGGATAGAACGAAAATACGGTGTTTTTAGCAAATTAGATGCCTGCACATTTGTTGTTAATGTGTATGATGAAGGGAATATCGTAAGTATTGTGACAGATAGCTCTCCCCATGGCACTCATGTTGCTGGTATTGCTACTGCTTTCCACCCAAAGGTACTATTGTGTAGGTTTTATCCATTTGCTGCACTTTTTCTCAATGTTAGGATAACATACTTATGATACACGTGGTTGTTCTTAGGAGCCCCTGTTGAATGGAGTTGCACCTGGAGCACAACTAATATCTTGTAAAATTGGAGACTCGCGCTTAGGTTCAATGGAGACAGGAACTGGTTTGACTCGAGCCTTGATTGCTGCTGTGGAGGTACTTTAAAATTCGATTATTTTCTAATCTCTCTAAGATAATCAGCAGTTGTAGTTTGTCCAAGTCTTGTTTAGGAGTTCAGCATTATGCCACTGGTGGTCATGTATTATAGGGAATCCAATGCGTTGTATAGGTTAGTATAATGATGTCCTTTCTGTAATGTTTTCTGCAGCATAAGTGTGATTTGATCAACATGAGTTATGGAGAACCTACTTTACTGCCAGACTATGGGCGCTTTGTTGACCTCGTTAATGAAGTATGATTTCTTAAATTTGTGTCTGGCTCGTTTGACTACAATTTTTTTTTCCTGCTCTTATTTTTTATGCTCTCAATATCTATCCATGGATGCTATAAAACTAGGCTGTGAACAAGCACCGTCTAATATTTGTGAGTAGTGCTGGCAATAGTGGGCCAGCACTGAGCACTGTTGGAGCACCTGGTGGTACCACATCAAGCATTATAGGAGTTGGTGCATACGTCTCTCCAGCAATGGCTGCTGGTGCTCATTGTGTAGTTGAAGCCCCTGGTGAAGGGCTTGAGTACACTTGGTATATAAACTTCATTTTTCTGACTTCCAATTTTAAATGTGAGCTCCCACATTCGACTTCGTTTAGGTTGGTCTTCTAGTTTCATGAGAAGTTATGCTTGATATGCAGGTCTAGCCGTGGACCAACCGCCGATGGAGATCTTGGTGTCTGTATAAGTGCTCCTGGTGCGGCTGTTGCTCCTGTTCCTACATGGACTCTTCAACGACGCATGCTCATGAATGGAACATCAATGTCATCTCCATCTGCTTGTGGGGGAATTTCTTTGCTCATAAGTGCATTGAAGGTACTTCTGTTATGCATTAGTAGTTTTGTCTTTTTTTCTTTTGACATTGTTTGTACAGATGTTTATTTTGGGGTGTAACTTCCTAAAATCTATTGTTTTTGGCAGGCTGAAGGTATTCCCGTGAGTCCATATAGTGTAAGGAAGGCTCTTGAAAATACATCTGTTACAATAGGCGGTCTACCAGAAGATAAACTATCAACTGGAGAAGGGCTTATGCAAGTTGACAAGTTAGACTTTTGATCTGGGCCTTCACTCCTTCCTACTATAGATTTCTGCATGTAATTTTGAGATAAATCGTGATCATTTACTGATTATCAGGGCACATGAATATCTAAGGCAGACCCGGGATGTACCATGTGTTTGGTATCAGATAAAGATAAATCAATCTGGTAAACCAAGTAAGTTTAGTGCCACCCTGCTCCTATTTCTCCCACTCTTCATTGAAAAGCGCAAAATTGCTGGTGCATGCCCAATTTTAGCATGAGACTTCCTATTTTCTTGCTTGATGGGATGATTGCCTCCAAAATTTGATAATTCTAAATTGTTAAGCATGTTTCCTATGAAGAAAAAAAGGCTAAATATGTAAATATTTTGGAAGATTTGGTAATGCCCTTCTGCATGCTAATATATTAAGTCTGATATAACCTCAGCATGGATCTATTCAGGTTTCAGTTTTCAGTTCACTTGTTATTAGGTTCTTGGTAATCACTCTATGTTCGAGAATTGTTCTCTTGATTTTAGGTTATGTTAATGCACTGAACTTACTTTGTGACTGTAATTTGATGGCAGCACCCACATCACGAGGAATCTACTTAAGGGAGGCTAGTGCTTTCAAACAATCTACTGAGGTAAAATTATTTATTGACATGCTGGAATTTCATAATATGAATATGTAGTTTAAGATTTATTGTGGTTTCCTATTTACGGTTATTTTCTTTAGATGTAAACTTGCTAAGAACAACTTTTGCAACATTTCTTTCAGTCCCAATTTTGAATTTCATTGCGTCTGTCGATTTATATATAGCTGAAGTAGTGTTTTTAACAGTGGACAGTGCAAGTTGAACCAAAATTTCACGAAGGTGCAAGTAATTTAGAAGAATTGGTTCCTTTTGAGGAGTGCATCGAGTTACATTCCAGTGAGAAGGCGGTTGTGAGGGCTCCTGATTTTCTCCTTCTTACTCATAATGGGCGTAGCTTCAAGTTAGTTAGCACTACTTCAATGTGCCTTTTTTTTTGTCTGTTAATTGTCCACATATTAGCTCTAATTCTACTTGTCACTGATTTTTGCCCTTTTTCTTTTCAGATTTGTTTTCTCCTGTTTTTCTTCATGTATAAAATTGAATAACCTGTTTTTCTGCGATGCCAATTTGCATGCTCTATCTTTAAAAGAATGCATGACTCAACTGTTGCATTGCATGCATGCATCTTGTGTGTTGTCATACTTTTATATGTGGCTTGGAGCATAGCACAACATCTGTTTTAGTTGTGAGTGCATATTCTTGAGGGTGCTCCCTGCTCCCAAACTATGGCATAGACATTTACTTGTGAACCAAATTCCCAGAACAGAGCGAATGGGCAGGGAATTAAGCTTCATTCTGATACAATTTTCCATCATTGGAATATATATGCACGGACATATACATGCAGAAGGAACAAAAGCACATGTTGGTTTATCATAAGCTGCTTGTATGATATTTAACTATTTCTGTGCTGTCTTAAGAGTTTTAACATTTCTTTATTTTTAGACTCTTTAATCTTATGATCTTTACATCTAATCTCCTTAATATATTTTGTATGTATGGGTAAGTTAAGTGTTAGTTTGTTCATCATCAGTTACAAGTTCTCTTTCCTTATCTTTTCAGCATAGTTGTGGATCCCACCAACCTTAGTGAAGGTCTACACTATTATGAACTATATGGTGTTGATTGCAAAGCACCAGGGCGCGGCCCCCTTTTCAGAATCCCTGTTACTATAACAAAGCCTATAGCTGTGATAAATCGACCTCCACTGTTGCCATTTTCTAGGATGTCATTTTTGCCAGGTGTGAGGCATTGTTAGTTGTCTTTCTTCTCTGTTTCTTGTTACAAACAGTTTATTCTTAGCTGCTTGTGTTTTGAATTGGCTGGTATTAATCATATGGACAATTCTTTGATGGTGGCAATTCTTTTTCTTGATGGTTAGGCCACATAGAAAGGAGATTTATAGAAGTACCTCTTGGTGCTACATGGGTTGAAGCAACCATGCAAACATCAGGATTTGATACAGCACGAAGATTTTTTATTGACTCTGTTCAGGTATAGCTTGCAGTTAAAACTTATATCAAATGGTGTAAGCCTGCTTTAACATGCTTGCAATGTCCAGCTTTGTCCCCTGCAAAGACCTCTTAAATGGGAGAGTGTTGTAACATTCTCTTCTCCGGCTTCCAAAAGCTTTTCATTTCCCGTTGTGGGTGGTCAGACAATGGAATTAGCTATTGCTCAATTTTGGTCGAGTGGGATAGGAAGTCATGAAACAACTAATGTGGATTTTGAGGTATGCTGTTTGTATTTGGACATAGCATATCTAGTAAAATTGTAACACTTCTATTGTTTATTTTCCACTATTCCTTAGATTTTTACTTTTACTGATGATGCCATGAATTTTCTTTGTGGTTAACTTCCGGGAGTTCTCTATTATTCTGATGTTATAATAACTCATTTGATTTCTACGTTATCTTCTTATATTTCCACTTATGTTTTTTTCCTCCATATTAATTGAGTTTTGAGAAACTGCGTCATCACCCAACTGATGGACTTGTTTAAATTCTTCAACTTGTAGAAAAAGTATCTCACATATCCTTCTGACTGATACTATCTTACATTTCCTTCTTTGGAAATCCTTTATTTTATTACTTTTATCTCTTTAGAGATAAATCTGAAAAACTTTTATAACAATTAAATTTAGTTTTGTTGTCAGTCATGTGGTGTCTTTGAGGGGGGAAATAGGCAGGAAAAATCTTCTGGAATTTGATGTTTGTAATGAACTTCATTGGAGAGCCTTACATGCGGGTTTTGTATAAATGTTTCAGATTGTATTTCATGGGATTAACATTAATAAAGATGAAGTAGTACTTGATGGAAGTGAAGCACCGATCAGAATTGAAGCTGGAGCTCTACTGGCTTCTGAGAAACTTGCACCAGCTGCTATTCTAAACAAGGTGAAGTTGCTCCTCTTGTATAGATGATGGTGACCATATATGTTGTTCCTTAACTGTGTGTTACCAGTTCTGTTCTAATATGGTGTCTTCTTCCTTTGAGATAAACTTGCAGATAAGAATTCCATATCGGCCGGTTGAGTGTAAACTTTTTACTCTGCCAACAGATCGTGACAAACTACCCTCAGAAAAACGTATTCTGGCACTTACTTTAACGTGAGTTGTGATCTGATGTTTCTTAATTTGCTGCTTTGAATGACTGCACTTTGTGCTTTATTGTAATCGACCCTTTCTGTTCTGGTTCTTTCAGTTACAAGTTCAAATTGGAAGACGGAGCTGAAGTAAAGCCTCAAGTTCCACTACTTAACAATCGCGTGTACGACACTAAATTTGAGTCTCAATTTTATATGATCTCTGATGCAAACAAGGTACTTTTGAGCTTTGTTCCTTTGCATAACTTCATTTGTGGTTTATTATTACAACGCTTTGGTAGTTGTAAATGTACTCTTTTCTTTGGAATTTCTTACTCTTTTTACCTTTCTGATCACAGCGTGTATATGCAATGGGTGACACTTATCCAAGTTCTGCAAAACTGCCCAAGGGTGAATACAATTTACGGCTATATCTGAGGTATGGTCCTTTTTGAGACAACACATAACCAGCATGCCCGTACATGCTATTATTTCACTGTTGAAATGTTGTGAAATACTTAGTTTTAAGTCCAAGACTTGGTTATGAATTTATCTTAACTTGCTGCTATTGAAACTTTATCTAATATGAGGTGTTTCAACCTTAGACACGACAATGCGCAATATTTGGAAAAGTTGAAGCAGCTGGTGTTGTTCATTGAGAGGAAGTTGGAAGAGAAGGTAGAGTTACAATCTCTTTAATGATCTTTATAGTCTGAATAAATGCTTTGTCAGGACGGTTTGAGAACCTGATTTTGTGTTATATTTGAACAAGTGGTGTATTGAATCAAAACTGTATAAGATTATCTGTTATTCCCCTGAATCTGTTCAAATCAATGTGTCATTATCAGAAGGGGCATTTTGTGATCAATGCGTCTGTGTTTCATTACCTTTTAAATGCTCTGGTTTCCTTCTAAACCAGGATGTAATCCGATTGAGCTTTTTCTCCCAACCTGATGGCTCTTTGACGGGAAATGGTTCTTATAAGTCCTCTGTTTTAGTTCCAGGGTATGCGACTGAATAATTTATTCTTGTGGTTTAATAATGTCATTTTGTAATGCTATTTAACTTATTGGAATTGTTGTAGGAAGAAAGAAGCAATCTATTTGGGTCCACCATCCAAAGACAAAATCCCAAAGGTTTGTTATGTTTTTTTTTTTACTTTTATTTTGATGTTAGTGTTGAAAGTTTTTAATACTACTTATGAAATTTCTGCAGTTTTCTCCACAAGGATCTGTTTTACTAGGAGCGATCTCATATGGGAAGTTATCGTATGTTGAAAAGGGAGAGGGGAAAAATCCACTAGAGAATCCTGTGTCTTATCAGATATCATATATAGTGCCACCAAATAAGGTTTTTATATATGCTGCCTTGTATTGTTTTCCAGTAGTCTAAGACATCATATACGTCCTAATGTGACTGACCAGCTGAGCTGAGCTTTGGTTAGATATACCATTTTTGCTGTTATTTGACCAAATAACATGTGTATGTAAATAGTTTTTATTACAATGCTTTTGCAGCTGGACGAGGACAAAGGAAAAGGTTCTTCTACTTCAACTAAGGGTATATCTGAGCGATTAGACGAAGAGGTATGCAAGGCACATAGACTAATGTTTCTTCATCTGACTGGATGCATCAGATTTTCATGCAGGTTACTTTGGCAAAAAATTCTAGGTTACTTCTGACTTTCAAATTGGCAAAGTCGATGGCATGCTACTCATTTCCACCTGTCTCCAACACTTGTTTGGAGATTTGTAGTAAAATCATAGATAGAGTTACTTAAGGTGCCATCTTTTTGTCAAGATGCTCATACAAAAGCTGTTATTTTAGTAGTGGGTTTCTCACATAGGTGCACCTACAGGGAGACATACACCCATACTTATGTTTGTCTTATATTGTCAAGGATTTGTTTGTGGGTTTGTTTGTGTTCCCCTTTCGTTGAGGACCCCGCTAGGCTCACTTACATCTACCTGTGATTATAGTATCACCATGCTTCAGTATAGAACGTTGAAAAACCTGATATTTGTGTGGCACATACATTCAGTTACCCTTATTTATGGATTTTCAAAGTTGGTTGCAGATTTTTCCATTGAGTCATCACTATCTGCGACACTGATGCTTATTGTCTATACTTTGTGAATCAGGTTCGAGATGCAAAGATTAAAGTTCTTGCAAGCCTGAAACAAGACACTGATGAAGAATTCTCAGAGTGGAAAAAATTATCTTCCTCTCTCAAGGTCTAGCTCATATTGTTATGATATAGCTTAATGATTTAGGTTATATGATCAGGAATTGACCATCTTATGTTTTTCTTTAACATGGGAGAAAAGATTTATTTAAACTCATTTTCATCTATTCTCTACATGGTAGGGTGTAAGGTTTTTCAACTGAATCTTGAAATGAGGCTGGTCAGCTCTTATTTCAGTTAGTTTGTACATTCATTCAACATGGATAGTGGGGCTTTGACTTCTGAGTACCTTGTTATTAACTTTGCATATTTTACACAAGCACACGACACTCACCATTGAGTAACTACTTTGAAATCTGTTCCGGAACTACACGTTCTGAACTGTTAATTTTTACTTCCATTCAGTGTATGTACAAATATATTTCGTCAATAATTGAGCATCTGTTTTTTAAGTCTGTTTCGGATTTCTATATAATGTGTAAAGTTTATGTTGTATGTATGACTCATCCATCGTATGTACCCTATGTTTCTCTTTACAGTCTGAATACCCTAAATACACTCCATTGCTTGCAAAGATATTGGAAGGTTTGCTTTCTCGAAGCATTATTGAGGACAAAGTCGGCCATGAAAAAGAGGTAGTGTAGCACAAGTGTGTGGTCAAGAATGATGTAGTTTTGTATATTGTTAATAGATACCTTGAGGGATGGGTTTATGCGGTGATCTGATAGCAGTTACCATGTGCCGCTTTGCAGGTTATTGATGCAGCAAATGAGGTGGTTGACAGTGTTGACAAAGATGAGCTAGCAAAATTTTTTGCACTCAGAAGTGATCCCGATGATGAAGAGGCAGAGGTGTGTATGTGTTAACTTATTTATTTATTTATTTTTATAACTCTCTTTCTTAAAACCAATATGAACAGAGATCTGCTGAAACTCTTTCAGAGAATCAGCAAATCCTAGAAGCTTTTTCCACCTGAATTTCTTTCTTGGTTAATAATGACTAGTACTGTTTCTTATCGTAGAAAATTAAAAAGAAGATGGAGACAACCCGTGATCAGTTAGCAGAGGCGCTGTACCAAAAAGGACTAGCACTGGCAGAGATTGAATCTTTGCAGGTTGGAACAGTTCTTTCTGTTTAATTTCATAGTTACGTTCTATTAGGTTAATACTTTGCGGTTTTAAATTTTGATATAAAGTATGAGATGAACATATGGTTTTGTAAAAATATGTCAAAGTTGCACAGCCAGATTTTATTTTTTAGTTGGTCAGCCTGTGATGGTAGTATGTCTAGTTTAATGTAAAGCATTTTTGTTGTAGAGGAAATAAATTATTCATTCTGAGGATGTTGAGCTTTAAACATCTGAGGAACTCTTTTTTTTTTTTTAAATCCATAGAAGAGCTAAATATTTTCTAGACTTGTAACGCAAATTTGATAACTGATTCCTTTAATGGTAGACATCCAACTCCAACGTAATGAGCGTCGGTTACTTTAACCCAAGCAAGGGATGAATCATGGGTCGAAAATTGAATTGTGCACTTTCTTGGTGCAACCATTCACATGCTGGTATATTTTGTTTTTGGTTTATAATTTGAGATTATTTCTCCATACCTATGAATGCTGATAAGGAGCACGTTATCTAGTTACCAGTGTTACGGTCAATTTGTTTCTTATACCCATTATTTAGTTACCAGTGTTACGGTCAATTTGTTTCTTATACCCATTATTTAAATGGAGCACATGCATCATTACAATTATTGTTGCAGGGTGATAAGCGCACTAAGGCTGAAGAAGGAGCAGAAAAGACTGAAGATTTGTTTGAAGATAACTTCAAAGAACTTAAAAAATGGGTTGAAGTGAAGTCCTCTAAATTTGGAACCCTCTTCGTACTTCGTGAGAGACGTTATGGAAGGCTTGGAACAGCGTTGAAGGTATTTTTTTCCTTCTTCCCTCTCACTCTTAGGAACTTAAGCACACTTCATCACGCCTAATACCATGAATAATCCCATTTAATGCAATAATAAGTTCCAGGTCCAGTAAAACTTAAAAAGAATAAGGAACACTCTAGAAACATACAAAGTGATCTTCAAATGTCAGTTCTAGTTCTGAAGTTTGTATTTGCTTGGGAATGGTGTCAAAGAGGAATGTTTTATCATGTTCAAGAACAGATTTTGGTTATTATTTCTCAGTGAATTAGCCTTCTTATCTGATTTGATCATTTACAAGCGCAGGCTTTGAATGACGTAATCCAAGACGATGGAGAGCCTCCCAAGAAGAAGTTTTATGAATTGAAGATCTCCCTGCTTGAAGAGATCGGTTGGAAACACTTGGTGACACATGAGAAACAATGGATGCATGTCCGCTTTCCAGCGAATTTACCTCTTTTCTAGGGGGTTCCTCCATAACAGAGATCAAATAGACTTGAATAATAAGCATCAAATAAGGTGCTAGCTAGGCCGTGTTTACTAGGTTAGAGTCTTTAACTGCTTCAAGGATAGTTCCTATGACAGTAAACTGTGATCATTTCTCCCTCCCGCTTTCCCCATATACTGATTGTGGTTAATATTGTTAGAAACTCTCTACTCTTTTCTCTCAGTTCACATGTAGTGTGTGTTATCCTTTATTTAGACCCGTGTTAATAGTGAAATAAAAATGACTTTGATTTTATGTTCTTCATGAGCTCGTCATTTTCTTGTTAATTGTAGGTTCCTATTCGTGTAATATCGAATTTGTTGTTAATTGTTACTGCTTTCAGATTAGAATTGCCCATTTAAAAGATACTGAAAGAATATATTAATTGAATGACCTGAGATAATAGTAAAAATTGAAAGGCATTATACAATTCTTAATTTGCCTTTTATACAATGGAGGAATTAAGAGCGATAGAAGCTCGAGGCCCTTATTGTGACTAAAGGGGATGGAGAACAAGCGGCAGGCCATTGGAAGGCCTGAGAGAGAGCGCAATCGAAGGAGAGTGGCAATAGGTAGGAGAGATGGTAAAAGAAAACTTAGACAGAATTAGGGTTAGGACAATCTTGTACTCCAAGAAACTTAGGTTTCGACCAATGCACATTCTTCCTCCAAACCCAAAAGGCAAATACCCCATCTTGTGCTTGCACCCGCCATGTATGTCATCTTTAAACCTCTCCGGCTTGAACTCATTGACGTCATCACCCCACAGAGCTGGGTCATGGTGCATGGCCACTATGTCAATCCACATGTTGGTTCCACTGGGAATTGCCAGGTCATCACTCACTTGAATGTCCCCTTTCGCTTGTCTCTGTGCATTTGGTGCCGATGGATACAATCGAAAAACCTCATTCATCACCCATCCCATCTGCATGATTAATTACAATTAATTAAGCTAATCATAAATATTAGTCTAATCAAAGAACAAATTAAAATGCAATCGTGGGTTATGTCAATTAATCAAGAGTCTGCTCATTCCTTGCACCCAAGTATGACCCTAGTGTTTTGCCAAGTGGCCGGTGAAGCCACTAGTGTTTTGCCAGGTGGCAACCCAATTGGCCGGTGAAGCCACTAGTGTTTTGTCAGGTGGCAATCCAACATTAAAAGTGTTCCTTTGTTATTATATTTGAGGCTGTCATGCTATATGTGACAATGGGAATCATGTGCTCGCTTTCCCACGCGCCTTAACCCGTAGACTGAGGCCAAAGGTATCACTCTGTTGTTTGACCATTGACCATTTGACCAAATCCAAATCTATCTGACATTTTTTCTTCTTCTTGTGTTTATTTTTAGTTTTAGGTTACAGATTTGGGAGAAATTTTTAAATGTTTCAGGTACACCACGTGTCTGGTGTACCATCCAATAAACATAGAACATGTGGAATTATTATCCAACCTACTGCATTTCTTCTTATGACATGTGGCGGACTGCATTGGACATATTCCATATGTCTTCCGTCTATTGGATGGTAACACTAAAAAATTACTCTAACCTTAGTTAATTAATTTCAATCTGGAAACCATTGCCCCTTTAAAAATATATCGGTCGACATGTACTTTAATTTCCATGCATTGAATTTTATATTTATAGTATGAAAGACATTAGACTTTATCTTCAGAGAAATCCAGACGCACCACACAAAGTATAAGTTTATAACAACGCATGCATGCATGGGATGGTAATGTGACAGTGCGAGATATGTATATAAATGAATTATTACCTTCTTTAGTCCAGCAAGCATGTTGACATCAATCTCCTTATCTCCCACCACTTCCCTAATCTCCTCTCTCAATTGATCTTGCCAATCCTGGTGAGTCGCCAGAAGCAACATTGTCCATGTGATTGCCAATGCTGTTGTCTCATGACCGCCAAAGAAAAATGTCTTGCACTCATCCACCAGATCCTCTGTGGTTAAAGCCTTTGTAAAACCTCCTTGTTCACTTTGCTTAAGCAGTATTCCGAGCAAGTCGTGCTGCGGCGTCGACTCTTTCATCGATTTTTTCCGAGCACTGATGATTGACAGGAACAGTTGGTTGATTTCTTGTCCAAGTCTTCTGGCCTCGAGGGTTTTCTTAGGGTGCATTATTTTGCCAAAGGGAACTCCCACAAAACGGCTCGTTTTGAAGAGGGTCATTTGCAAGGCTCTTAATTTTTCATACACTAGTCGCCCACTTTGGTAACTAATGCCAAAGCTTGTCTTGGCGATGATTTCTCCTGCCGTGGCAGTGATTTCTCTCTCGACGTCGATTTCCTGAGCGCCGGAATCTATGAGGATGCCCCAGTTATCCAGCATTTCTTTGGTGGTCTCCACCATTAAGCTAGCCATTGCCTGTAATATCGATTGCACATGGAATCTAATTGAGTGGATTTGATATAAAAATGTTAAAAGTCAAAGCACTAGAAGAAAAAATGCTTCACCCAATTAAGGTTTTATATTCTTTTCTAAGAAACAAGCTTTTTAACCTTTGTATGGAATGTAATGCTTTGCCAATTCCGGTGTTTTTATAAACATGAGATTCTCATAATAGAATAAGCTATATGTATATATATAATGAAAATAAGAAAAAGCATCTTTGAGAGAGAGAGAGAGAGAGAGAGAGAGAGGGACCTTCAAGTTGGTAGGGTTAAAAGCAGGAGTGATAACGTGGCGGTGACGAACCCAGTCATCACCTTCTGACATAACGAGGCCATTACCAAACATGGCAGCTCTGTCACGTCTAAACACAGCAGGCTTTCCCCAGTTCTTTGCTGTGACCTCTGCAGACAATTTTTTCAGCAACTCTGGATCGGCTATGTACAGAAATGGCTCTGTGCCTAACCAGTAGACGAACATTTTTCCTGCATGTGTGAATATAACATAATAAAAAATTAGTTAATCTGTAAAACACATTTATCACTAATTGATACTTAATGACTAATTTTGAAAGCAAGTGCAAAAAAGTGCTGGTGGGGTAATGTTGTTAATTACCGTGGGAGCTCTGCCAACGAGCAAAGTAAGGAAATAGAGTTGAGTGAATGTCATGGGTGATGATATTTGAGTTAGGCTGCCCAAATGAAGACGACGAGCTTTTAACATTGATCTTCTTTTTCATCTCAGTGAGATTTCCTAATGGAAAGCTTGGAGATGGACCATTTAGCCCATATTTCTTAAGCTTCCGGTAAGCTAGGACTGGAGAAACCCAAAACGAATATATTAAGCTGCAGCACATGTACAGCAGGGCCATGGCGGCCATGAAGATGAAGAAGAAAAGTTGAAATGACCCAATGAACTCCATCGCTTTTCTGTGTGCGTCTCTTTTAAGCCTTTTTTATGGTTTTGTGAGTTTAACAAGAGAAGAGAGCCAGTATTTATAGACGAGAGAAGCTGATCAAACGAAATAACCAATATAATGGGGAGGTTCAAGAATGTCGGAAGTTTGACTATGACCTAATGACGTGGCTTTTTTAATTATTAATTGACTTTGCGCTCCTAATTTAAGCGACCTTCTCTTTTCTTCTTCTTTTTATTTTTTGAGTTGAACAGGCCGAGTTAACTTCGAATCGGTTCTACCAACACCAACTAGTCTTTGGTCTAATGGTATTTATCTTCAGTTGATTGAAGGAGGTTCTAAGTTCGACCCACATGAATAATAATGACATATATATTTGTTGAATCCGGGTTATAGTTATAACTTTATTATATGTGTACTATTTGAGTGTATTGTGACCCGTTATAAAAGTATTTTCCTTGTTTGTCAAGAAAAAGTTTGAATGGGTTCAGGTGCTTCATTTTGAACACTCTTCCTTCTTCTTTTCTTTCTCTTTCATTTTTACTTTTCATTTTTGTTTTGTCACCAAACTTTAATCACTTTCTATGTTGCGGTTCGATCATTCATACAAGTCGCCGGGCATGCGGCTGAAAAGTGTTACAGTACGAACTGGATATGGGTGTGTCCTGTGTGCACGCCACCGTCCGTATAGTTCTTGTTGATTGTCAGATATTCCCACGTGTACGGCTGTGGTTGGAGATCAACAACCGCTTTGTAGACCATAAAACAGAAAATTGATTTCTCTGTGTCTAGTTCTTCAAAAATTGGCAGCAGCTCCAATTTGGATTTGGTGTAATTTATTTAAAAGTAAAGTATTAGTTAGCGTTATATATAATTAACAGAAACAAGAACTAAAAGTAGAATGAAAATTGTCAATGTGTTGAATTTGTGGAAAAATAAAGTTAGCTCGTCGTTTTCATTACTAGCTAGATGGTTTTCAATGCTTTAATTTCCAGTCTTACTTTGATGTTCCCATGGAGATACCATTCTAAATAAAAGTATAATCACAAGATTTAAAGTTTAACTATAATAACTATATACTCTCCACGTGAAGAATAAAGGTGACAAACTATATATCCAAGTTAATTACAAGAGCTTAGTATTAATTAAACGTGCTTAATACAATACTATTATACTATTTTCAAACTAATCAACGCGCGACACAGTACATGATGGAATAATTTTGCACTACTAGTCCTAGATGCCAATTAGTAACCCAATAATATGCCTAACGACTTTTAACCATCCATTACTTAATTAGGAAAAGTTGATATAAAGCAGCTAGCTTTAGGTTACATATATACATGATTATCACGTACATGGTTGGATTAATTTCTATGTCTTTTAAGTACGTGCAATCGTGTTTGACCAAAAACTCTATTAGAACAGAACAGTTTCGACAGACGTTGTGATTATATTGTTTATTTATGCATTAATTTCCGAGTTTGAGGCCAACTTTTCTCACTAAGATAGATTGAATTCAAAGATATGTGTTTCATGCATATATACTTTTACTGTTGAATTTGACGGATTGATGTCGTAGGTGATGACCACTGAATATATATAGCGGGGGCAGGTTTGTTAGGTTTGAATCAACCTACCCATCATGATTTCTAAATTCTATTTACATAGAGTTTGCACGAGAGAGGCAACCAACGAAAGAGGCTGGAAATGTTAAATCTGTTTGTTTGCATGAATGTAAATTTTACGTCCCTAATAATTATATAAAGATATTCTTCTGCATTAACACTGAAACACAGTGCCACTGGCCCACTGGCCCACTGCATGTATATATATATATCTAGCGATCGAGATCCTGTGGTGGACTTGGTAAACCAAATTAGAATATTGTTTAATATAGAATAATTGAACATTCCGTCCATCCATCCTCCTGTCC